CGCGAACCCCAGCACTTGGGAACAATGGATTACAGTCTTCGAAGACTTCCGCTTCGCTTCGGGACTACACCACGCCGCCGACGAGGTCCAGGTACGGACTCTTCTCTACCTCATGGGCTCCCACGAGGCTCGGCGCGTACTTGAGACATTCGGCCTGTCTTCGGAAGCGCTACTATCCTTCGACGCCGTCAAAGAAGCCTTCACACGCCACTTCGTGCATCCTACCAACGAGGTATACGCAAGCGTCGTGTTTCATCGTCGCATCCAAGAACCCGGCGAAAGCGTGGACGCATTTTTCACGGGGCTCCGGTCGCTCGTCAAGAAATGTGGTTATGCGTCGACCGCAGTTGAAGACCGACTCGTAAGGGACCGCTTCGTCGTGGGGCTTCGCGACAAGGCGCTCGTCGACAAACTCTGCCGAAGTCCCAAGCTATCGCTGGACGAAGCCCGCCTCCAGGCTCGTGTCCACGAGGACGCCGGACGTGCACGTGACACGCTCTTCGCAGAGTCTGTTCCCGGCCACGTGCTCGCCGAGACACGCAAGCACGACTCCGAGGGTCGACAGCGCTCCGGGAAAAACCTACAGCGCAAGAACACTCGCACTGGCAAGCACGCGGCCCGCGACAAGCACGACGGCGACAGCCCCTGCCGTTACTGCGGCCGCACCGCTCACCCCCGTGCGAACTGCCCGGCACGGGACGCCATATGCAGCCGCTGCAAGCGGAAAGGTCATTACGCAGCCGTTTGCGAACAGCGGGACCGACTTGGCTCTCTTCAGCTGCACGCGGTGACGCCGCGCCCCTTAGCCAAGTTCACGCAAGTCTTCGTCGACGGTCACTCCGTGAACTTCAAGATCGACACCGGCGCCGAAGTCACAGCCGTACCCGAGACTTTTCCAGGCCTCCCTCCACAACTTCAACCGGTAGAAGGCCAGCTCACGGGACCAGGAAACCACGTGTTGACCGTTTTGGGCACTTTCGACGCCACTCTCACGTGGAAGGGAACGACCACGGTCCAGCGTATATACGTGCTGCCAGCATCGACCACGCCATTACTTGGGTTCCCCGCAATCCAGGCCCTGGGCGTCGTCCGGTTCGCAGATGCTGTCACAAGCTCTGAAGGGCCACAGCAGCGCACGCCTCTTTCCCGAGACATCTTCGACGGGTTGGGCGAACTGCGAGAGGAGTACGTCATCCGTCTCCAACCCGGGACACGACCCTTTTCGTTGAGCACGCCGAGAAGGGTTCCCCTTCCACTCCATGACGCTGTCCGACGCGAACTTGCGAAGCTTGAAGCCGACGGGGTCATTCGCCGCGTTGACGGCCCCACAGAGTGGTGCTCCGGCATCGTCGTCGTTCCGAAGCAGTCTGGCGACCACCGAATTTGCGTCGACCTGACCCGCCTCAACCAGGTCGTCCTACGAGAGCGACACATCCTCCCCTCCGTCGAGCACACCCTGGGACAACTTGGACAAGCCCAGGTCTTCTCCAAACTCGACGCAACGGCGAGCTTTCATCAGGTGAAGCTTGCGGAAAGCTGCCAAGAACTGACTACGTTCATCACCCCTTTCGGGCGGTTCTGCTTCCGACGCCTCCCCTTCGGCATCTGCTCGGCGCCGGAATACTTCCAGCGACAGATGAGCCGTGTCCTGGAAGGCCTCGAGGGTGTGGTAAACATGATCGACGACATATTGGTCTTCGGCAGCACTCAGGCTGAGCACGACCGTCGCCTGAACAACGTCTTGCAGCGTCTCCAGGCAGCCGGGGTCAAGCTCAACCGCTCCAAGTGCGTCTTTTCGGCGCGTGAAGTCAAGTTCCTGGGCGTCATGGTCAGCGACAGAGGCATCAGTCCTGATCCGGAGAAGATCAAAGCGCTCGCAGATCTCGAGGCTCCCTCAGACGTCAGTGGAGTGCGACGACTGCTGGGGATGGCCAATCACTTGGGACGTTTTCTTCCCCACTTGTCGGACACGACAGCACCCCTCCGGGCTCTTCTTCAGAAGTCCAGTACATGGGTTTGGGGTCCTGCACAGCAGCAAGCGTTCCAGAAACTGAAAGGGCTGCTCAGCTCAACCGCCTGCATGGCCCGGTACGACCCTACCTACCCCACGACTGTGTCCGCCGACGCCAGCTCCTACGGCCTCGGAGCAGTTCTCCTGCAGCAGCAACCTTCCGGAGAGCATCGTGCAGTGGCATTTGCAAGTCGTTCACTAACTCCGACGGAGTCCAGATACAGCCAAACCGAAAAGGAGGCACTCGCCGTGGCATGGGCAGTTGAACGATTCGAACAGTTCGTGCGGGGTATCCAGTTCGACGTCCAGACCGATCACAGGCCTCTCGTCACACTTCTGGGCAACGCCGAGTTAGACCTCATCCCTCCAAGAATTCAACGGCTGCGGATGAGGCTCCTTCGCTTCCAGTTCCGGGTGCTCTACGTCCCTGGGAAGCTTATCGCCACCGCCGATACCCTCTCCCGGGCTCCAGCTACTACGCAGGTTGCCAGTCTGGAAGTCGACTCCCTCGATGTAGAGCGCTTCGTAAACAACATCGTGAAGGGGTGGCAAGACCTTACTGCTCCGGGTCTTGAGCAACTGCGCAAACACCAGGAGGAAGACGGAACCTGCATGGATCTGGCTCGTCTCTGCGAACGTGGGTGGCCGCGGCGAGCGTCGCAAGTTCCTGCCCATCTACGTTGCTTCTGGAGCACGAGGAGCAACATCACAGTCTGTGAGGGGCTGCTGCTCTACAACAACCGGATCCTGGTTCCTGCGGTGCTCCAACGTGACATGCTGACCAGACTGCACGAGGGCCACCAGGGGATTGGCCGTTGCAAGGCACGGGCGCGCGAGTCCGTGTGGTGGCCGACACTGAACTCTGAACTGGAACAGCTGGTGGCCGGCTGTGAGACCTGCGCTCAGACTCGGGTACAGCGCCACGAGCCACTCATGGGTTCCCAGACTCCGAGCAGGCCCTGGTTTCGGGTGGGGGCTGATTTGTTTGAAGTAGGTGGACGTCACTACCTCCTCACGGTAGATTACTATTCGCGCTACCCGGAGGTGATTACCCTATCATCGACATCTTCCTCGGCTGTTATTGCAGCAATGAAGAGCATTTTTGCCCGCTTTGGCATTCCCACAGTGGTCGTCTCCGACAATGGGCCACAGTTCTCCTCAAGGGGCTTCGCCTCCTTCGCTGCTTGTTACGGCTTCCATCACGTAACCAGCAGCCCCCGGTACCCGCAGGCCAACGGAGAGGCTGAACGCATGGTGCGGACAGTGAAGGACCTGCTGGCCAAGACGAAGGATCCCTACCTGGCCCTGCTCGTCTATCGCGACACCCCGGGAGTAAGTGGATGGAGCCCAGCGCAACTCTTGATGGGGAGAAGACTGCAGACCACGGTGCCGAAGCTTGAGGAGGCCCTGATCCCTCGAACGCCTCCAAGGACTCTCTTCCACCAGCGAGACTCGTGTGCACGACGCCGACAGGCACAGGACTACAACAGGCGCCACGCCGCTCGTCCACTTCGTCCGCTGTCTCCGGGCGAAGATGTTTGGCTTGCAGATGTACCTGGAGCTGCGCGTGTCTTGGGGCCAGCAAGACGACCTCGCTCGTACGTTGTGCAGACGCCCACAGGCATACTTGAGCGGAACCGTCGTCATCTGGTCCCATTTACACCATCTCAGCCTGCAGTGGAGTCTGCTAGTTCGCCGGTCTCCGACACTCCAGCTGCATCGACTCTACCTCCAGTGCCTCATGATGCTTCGCCGCCTCCGCAACCCCTACAACGCTCCACTGCGTCTCCGCGGTCTCTGGCGGAATCCCCAGTGCTGGGCACAGCGTCGGTGCCCACGCCGCAGTCACCAGTGTGCCCTCAGCAACCGGGCAGAGTTTCTCGCTTCGGGCGACGCATCAAGACGCCCGAGAGACTTAATTTATAAAGACAGCAAGTTTGTGTCTTTTTCCCTGAAGGGGAGATGTAGAGGTCGCAAGTGGCGCCCCCTCACTCTGTCGCTCCTCCGTTCGAGTCTATATAATCGGCGGCTCGAATAAAGCACTTCACTTGCCGACTGGAATCCGATGCGTCTGCGTGTCACTCAACTCCGCGACAAACCAGTTCTTTGCAACCACCTTCCCACTAATGTTACAGCATTAAGATTGAGTGTGGCCAAGGCATGGAAAATTACAACTGCTCTCTCCCTGAAACCAAACTACAACACTAGATCCAGTCCACTAAAGCAGTGTTCATGTGAATGAAGCCAGTTTGAAAGTGCTGTGCTTTAATCGTTACGTTTCCTTTTGGTCTGTTGCCTGTTGCTCTCAACAAAGGTTACACACATGTCTTTAGTAGTGTACAACATGGTGCTATGTGACTGCAGCCACTATTTCAATGCCATCTCCCTATTTGGATGATGGGAGAATGAAAGTAAAACTGCAGATTGCGAGTGTTCATTAGGCCTGAACTAGAAAAAACTAGTTAAGTGCTTCAAAGTCTTAAGGCAATGAATGCCTGACTTTTTTTTTGTTCTAGTGTTGGGAATGTATGGAACCTTCTGTCCTTAAAGAGACGCTGAACTCGCCAAAAACATTTTTAAGAACATAAATTAAAAATAAAAGTAAAAAAAATTTCGTAAAAAAAAAATGTTAATTTAGTTTTTAGGTAGCTATACTTATTTGGAGTTAAAACAATTCCGAAATTTGGTTTGCTTTTGAGACGTTGAACCTGAAACAAAAACATGCTTAGGAATTGCACCTAGCTCAAAATAAGCTAGGAGCAACATTGTGCTAAATGTTTTTTTCTTTTTCAAAAAATTTTTTTTTTGTGACAGCTGTGTCTTATCCAGGCACTAAAAAACAATGTTTCTTGGGAGTGTGACATCCATTCAAATGAATGACCACCTCCCTCTACACTAGTGTTGATGCTTGGGTGCATTTTTGTCTTCAAGCTGCTGCTCTTGGTAAAGGGAAGCCTGTTAAATACAATTTGGCTTATTTCTCTTGCAGGGCCTGTCCTGAGAGCCATTGCTAAAGTTCAAGAAGAGGCTCTTGGCTGTGAAGACGCCGAGGGTGAATACTCTTCAGAGAATGACTCGTTTACCGTTTGGCAGCAGATAGCGCACCAGCACTAAGAGAAGAAGTATGAGTGCCGGTTCTGCCCTTTCTCCAGCTTTCGCACGTCGGGCATCACCCAGCTGCAAATTCCCATTAAATCCAATTGGAATTCCAACTGGTTTTAACTGGAACCAATTGGTTTTAATGGGTTCTAACGGACCACACTGGCCAATGGGTCTCACCAATTGGAATTATTTTTTCCAGTTGGAACCTGAATGGGTTCCCAATGGTTCCCATTGGTTCCCGTTGGTTCCCATTGGCAGTGACCAATTGGTTGTCCAAAAACCCAATTGGTACCAACAAGTCACCAATTGGTACCAATAAGAAAATTCCAATTGGAACTTAATGGGAATTTTCAACTGGGCAAAGAGCATGAAAGGACACACACAGGCGAGAAGCCTTTCAGCTGCCGTATCTGCCACAAACTGTTTTCACTGAAGAGTACCCTGCAGGCTCACGAGAGAATTCACACAGGTGAAAAGCCGTTCAGGTGCCAGATTTGCCAGAAGGCATTTTCACACAAAAGTAGCCTGCAGGCTCACGTCAGGGTTCATACAGGTGAAAGGCCGTTCAGGTGCCAGACTTGCCGGAAGACGTTTATGGAAAGCAGTCACTTGACGCGTCACAGGAGAGTCCACATGAGTGACAAACCGTACAGGTGCGGAACGTGTGGGGCTCCGTTTAACCGGCAGTTCCAGTTGAGGCGGCACGAGAGACTTCACAGTGGAGACCCGCCATTTCAGTGTGAGCAGTGTGGAGAAAAGTTTGTGCAGGAAACTCATTTAAATGCACATCAGAAGGAGCGTCATCCATGAGGAACGTTCGTTGTATACTAAAGAGTGGTGTAGCTCGACTTATTTGTACGGTGTCGTTTTACCCTTTCATGTAAGACCATCTTGAATGGACCTGTTAACTGATTGCCCATTCATGAATAATCTATGATCTACCGTTACTGACTGCCATCTATCACTCTCTAGAGTCAGGACAGCAGAAAGAACTATCACTTATAAAGAAGCCCTCGGTGCCCATCGTAATGAGTGCATATATCATATCTTCCGGTCTATAAGAGACATTTTTGCATAAGTTGTGCCTCACTGTAAGTGGCTGTTTTCAGTAAAAGGTTGGAGTACTGGCCATACTTTTATATGAGTTGCACCTATATATTTGTGTGATCGGCACAGCAAAGGTTAATTGAAAGTCGGCATATATGTAGTATGATCGCAATATATATGTGCAAGCGATAGCAAGCTTAAATTTTCTCGTCAGCCAATCAAAAGAGAAATGTATCCTCCGTGGCAAATTTCTGTTGTTAAGGCCCATAGTTATAGAAAAAAATGCATATAAGTGGCATAATTGTATAAGATGCATCGACGGAAATATTCGGTAAAAAAGTGTGCCCTATGTATTGTAGAATACAGTAGGTGCATCTTTGTTCTGCCATGCACCCCAGAAAGCTTTACTTTCTACTATTCCTGGCTACTTCAAGCTGAATGCACTTTTTTTACATTGCAGTCATGCAGCTAGGCACCTGCTGAAGCGAATGTAGAGAGCATGAAATAAAAAATGCGGCCTTCAAAGACAATATCTTGAAACCAGATATTTATGTGCAGCATGGAGGCTTCAACCAGTTCTCTGCACAATTCCTTCTGCATAATATCATTGAGATAACAAATACTATTTGATTATTTGAGCCAAGCTTTGCCGTCTAGAATTCATTCACCTATATGTTAACGATTTTCCTCCTAAGCATGTTTAGTATGCCCTTGTGTTTTTTTTTTCATTGCTAGTTTTTATCTTTCATTAGCTTTTTTGTATGTTGATGTAATGTTTTGCATATCATACAGCAGATCAGCAGAGGTTTGTGGTCATGAAAAAAAGTAATCTTCGTAGGTATTAGTATCTCTTGGTGCTCTTTCATTTGAGGCATAATCCTCCTTTTGGCATAGGAATGTGCTAAGACAAACTCAGAACTATGATAAGCAAACAATTATACTTGGAATTGAAATTGTGAAATCCCCAACCATGCAAAACCCCACGTCTCGTTTATACTTTCCTATCGATATCACCTCTTTCTCACATTACAGAAAAATACTTTGTGTTTTGTAATGTAACTACTACTCAATTCTGAACATATGGCTTCTATCAAGACCATGTACATTCAGGGCCGTACCCAGAAAAAAATTTCGGGGGGGTTTTCGGGGACAACGGCGGCCATTTTGAAAGTGTCTGTTGTCTTATTTTCGCCTATGAATCATGTGCATCGGTGGCATATAATGGAGAGTTACAGCAAACCGGAGAACCGGTCCCGGTTTGGTACCCGGTAGCCGGCCGGCGCCACTGCGCGTGCGCAGAGGTGGAGATTAAAATCGGCTGGCTGCCTGTGCACCGACCAGGGCCGTACCCAGAAAAAAATTTCGGGGGGGGTCAGAACCCCCTATCCCCCCCCCTGGTTACGGCCCTGTGTACATTTCAGTATGCATTGATTATCATCCCGAACATGTCGTCCAGTCTTGTCAAACAAAACATTTGTCATGCTCTTGTCCGAGTTGTTTTTGGTAAAGTGTCGTACAGTTGTTTGTTTGCTTATGTTTGTTGATGTTGGCGTGGTCTTTTTTTAGATTTGTATTCTTGTGTGCCCTATCACTGTTCTCTGTAATGCTTTTGGACCTGAAGGTAATAATAATAATAATTTTATTTGCACATACTGCAATGGGCACATGTGGTGGTGTGCGGGGCTAGGCAGCTAGGTGAAAAACCCTTACGCAGAGCGCCTGCCAGCCCGCCACCACATGTGAAAAAACATACGACATATACTTGTACAGAATATACACAATACAGAAAGTACATGCAAAGGAAAGAAGGTGGTAAACAAGTAAGGCATTATGACGAGGATGCCAGCTGCATCCCATACATCCTGGCCAGCTCTCGTGACTGCCCCGTTTGACGGCAGGGGGCTGCGCACACTAAGGGAAAGTTTCAAAAAGTCTCTTATAGCAGCTGGGAGCAGTGAGGAACTGTGGCGCAATGTCCTCCCCCTCAGCTCGTCAGGTTGTTCAGTTCTCTTGCGAATTCTAGCAACTGTCGAGAGGTAGGTGCCTGACAGGGAACCGTTCAACATCCGGCAGGCGAAACGCGCACGGAACACTTGGCGCCTATGTTGAAGCGGGCGCCACCCAAACGCCTTCAGCCGGTCACAGTAGCTGGTGTCCAGTCCAGAGACATATCCAAGTGCCCTGCAGCATATTGTTGCTAGGGGTGTCGCGAATAGGGGTGTCGCGGACTTTTGTTGAACCGGATTTTTAGGTCGAACTTTCGCGGTTCGACTGGGTCGAACCGGTTCGACGAACCTTCGAACCTTTCACTAGATTCGACCGGTTCGACTTTGCGGACAGTGTTGCCAGACCTTAATACAAGCATGTCTAGCTTTGGAGAATTTTTTTTATGCAAAGGGTTATTTTATTTTGTGAACAGTTGCAATCAAAAGAAGCTAATTCTAATCACTGAAGAAAATTAATAACTCAATTTGTTTGTATTGTATTAACGGAATAAAACCAATCAGCGCTGCCCTTAATTCATCTTTTAGCCATCACCATCCAATCCGAAGCCAACTGGCCAGTCTGTCGCGCATGCGCACACGAGTCGAACCTCAATACAAGGTTCGTCGAAATTGCCACTAAAAGTTCGAAAAAGTCGAACCTGGTCGAACTCGAACCTCGGCCGGTTCGCGACACCCCTAGTCGCAAACCGGCCGAGGTTCGACTCGTGTGCGCATGCGTGCTGGCCAGTTGGCTTCGGATTGGATGGTGATGGCTAAGGAAAGAATTAAGGGCTGCTTTGATTGGTTATTTGAGTTAACACAGTACAAAAAATTAAGTTAACTTCTCCAGTGATTAAAATTAGTTTCTTTTAATTGCAACTGTTCATCAAATAAAATAACCCTTTGCATAAAAAAAAATTCTCCAAACCTAGACATGTTTGTATTAAGGTCTGGCCACACTGTCCACAGAGTCGAACCGGTTGAATCTGGGAAAAAGTTTGAAGGTTCGTCGAACCAGTTTGACCCAGTCGAACCCCGAAAGTTCGACCTAAATGCCAAACAAATACAACCTTGCCTTTCTTCAATTCTTTTACTCTGTCCCTGCATTTTTTTTTTTTGCTAGCTGAATAAGCAAATAAACACTAGGAGAGGGTGGAAGTGCAAAACAGATACAACCTTGTGTTTGTCCAGTTTTACTCTGTCCTTGTGTTGTTTTTTCATTGGAATACCATGCATCCCTTAGTACATTTCTACAGGATGTCCCAAATAGCGGTCAGGCTCTTTAAATCGGCCGCAAAGGCCGACGACCAGTTCGCGCTTTCCGCTTTTCCCTCGCTTCCTCCTCTCCCCCTTCTACCCTGTCCACCACTGGCTGTTTCCTCCATCCCATGGTGAGGAGGATCTTCTGCCTTGCAGAATCTCGACTCTGGTCGTCGGCCTTTAACCTATCGCGCTACGATTTTGTGCAGCGTTGCCCACAAATGGTGCATTTTTTTTCGTAAAATTTGCAAAGAGCGAATTTACCGTGGAAAAAGTAAAGAAACAAAAAGGTAAGCTTTTTTTTTTCTTATTTTTCACACGAACTACAAAGCGCTCACCACAAATTTTATCTAATCTTAATTATTTTTTTAGCCGCGTTCGCAACTTTTTTTTTTATTTTATTTTATTTTATGGGAGCGCCCACCATGGTGCAAATGGGTTCGTAAACACACGCGGACCCCCTTGGAAGTATCGACTGCACATACTCCACTGAACTTTTTTGAATTTTATTATTTTATACTTTTTCGAAGAACTGGATCGAGCTTCACAATTGCATTGCTTTGCCTAAGATCGACTCTGATCGACTAACGGTGGACCAGAATAGAGACTGACGGACAGCATTCAATTTGTAGTTAGGGGATTTTATAGTTCGTTTTCCGTGATTTCACGGCCATTGAGTGACACTAAGGCACCTGTAGGTATTTACTTTCACAAATTTTGTGCGCAAGCATCGTATCCAAATTTAAACGACCAGAATATACAGTATTGATATGCCACAAAATTCAATTATTGAAAACATGATTGCGCAAACAAAGCAAAGGTTGCACAACGTTTACGCAAATGAAAGATTCAGAACTGACTACTGTTGACCAAAGCTCGACTGGAAGGTCTTCTAATCGTCTTCTAATGGCGGAAAAACGGGGCGGCAAGGGTACGATATCTTCACCCTAGCTTTACACTTTGTGTCATTCGACGGAAACCCAAATAGGATTATGGAAGCTCAGACCGCTGGTTTCCTACGTTTTTGCCCACAAGCAATATGGTGAAAACTCTTCAGGAAATATTTCGGTGGTAAAGGCGAGACCATTAGAAATTGAACAATCCGGCCAAAACGCGCCCTGTCGCATTCCTGACGCGTTTCAGCCGACGGCAAACAAAAACCGAAACTAAAGCGTACAGAACACCAAAAAACGAAGATATTCTGTGTAACTCGAACGTAAAGGTAAATAATCAGTTTTGTTTTTAGCGAAGTTTATATAGTGTACTAAATATTAATGTACTAACAAAAACCATCCCACTGAGGATACCAATATAAATAAAGTCATAATTATCCAATCCAATTCGATAGAAGCCTAGTGCCTTGACACCCCCAACCCCGAGTGGCTGAACCACTGTGGGCTGAACGGACACCACATTACAGCGTTGCCAGATGGTGAAATCTGGTACCAGATTTGGAAAATCTGGTGAAATTGGGGGGCTACTGGTGTTGATGTACCGGAACGGCTACACCAGACAATATTTGGTGAAAACTGGTGAAAAATCTTGAGAAATGGCTTGTCACTTGCATTAATCAATTTTGCACTGTTTTGTTAGCCTTTTGTTAGTGTATTTATGTAGCCTATTTGCAATCGTTGCCTATTTGTTTATGTTCCATATTCTTATGGATATCAGCGATGGATGTGCTTTATATGTGTCAAGAGATAGTCCGTGCCAGTGTGTCTGGACTTTGTGTGAAGTGTTATGTGACTAGATGTCATACTTATCAGTTTTTTTCTTGAAGCTTGACTTCAAAACCTGTTATGAACTGAACTTTATCATGGCGTTGTATTTCGACTTCGTTCTTATGCGTTTTTTTTCTCTTACTGCTGAGCAGACTCCTTTAGACTGCGAGCGTCTTGAAGTGCAATATTATGTGGTCTTTCTTACGTGTCGGTGGCCTTCATTAATTTGAATTTTCCGTCTAAGGACAACCCAACACCAACATCTCATAAATATGGTATATTAAAAAGTAACAATGCTGATAATGCGCCACAAGTCTGCTTTCTTCCTTTTTTATTGTGCTGCGATGCCTTATATTAGTGAACCTCCTGAAAGCTACCCTTTGCGAGTGCATGCGTAAAAAAGCTGAAGGAATTGGAAATACGTAATAGACGCAATATTTTAGTGCTGGTGAAATCTGGTGAAATTTCGGCCAGAATTTGGTGCCGAAGCAGCTTTCCAATCTGGCAACGCTGCCACATTATCGGACCAACTTTACCTGGCTGCGTACATCCAGTCCTCTCTGG